CGCTCGACACCATGCGGCGAGGGGGGCTGCTGGAGGTCGCCCTGGGATTTACCGTGCTCTTAGCGTCCTATACGAGCCACGGGGCGGACACCAATGTGGCAGCTGGGAACGCGAAGGAAACCCGAGCCAGCCGGGCCAAGAGAAGAGGCGGCGGCGGACACGACGCGCTGAAAGGGTAAGGCAACGGGGCAGCTCCTCTGGGGTGGGTCTCCCCTCCCTCTCCTCCAGAGAAACTGAGGGGTTGGACTCCCGACCGGGGAAGTGTCCCTCACAAGACCTCCTGGGGGCACCTTAGAAGTGCAAGGGTTACCCGGTCCTCTACGCATTCGAGGATAAACCACTCTAAGGATTCCTGCCCCAGAGGCGAGGTCATGGTTAAAAGGAATCCTGGGCCATTGTCGAGGCCGATTTTGGGAGGCCAGAAAGGCTCTTTGAGGAAGAAGGGGAGGAGCTGCGACTGAGAGTACAGAAGTCCATTCCTTTCCCTTCATACCAATCCGCTTGGGTTTAGGGGAAAGTACTTTCCTGTGGGCATCTTTGCAGATGCTCCATTTGTAAGGGAGCACGGGCAGGGAGGGATTCCAGGGAAAGTGGGAGAAGACACACAGTGAGTGGTCAGCGTCCTCTAAGTCGTGCTATTAAAATTAGGGAGTGAGTTTTCTGAGTAGCAGTGCTCTTCAGAGGTCTACGCTGGAAGCACAGCAGGGCAAGAGTTTCTGAGAGCTTGTTTGTGGGTTGTAAGGAGTTCTCATTTCACCGGGGCACTAACGCTGCTGTGGCCCAGCCTTAAAGGGTGTTTTAAACCGGTGGTGTATGTGTTGGGTGCATGCAGCTGGGCACTTCACCAGCTTCCTATGCCCCTGTTACAGAAACTGTTTCAGCAGAAACTTTAAATTAGGCAGCTCGACTGTATGGGGAATACACTTCTTTTAAAATTGTTCAGATTGAGAAAGAAATTCCTTTCTGCGGTTAACTTCAAGCCTCCATAGGAGCAGCAGGATGGACTGTAAATGACCCATTTTATCTCCTGGGAGGAGCCTATTAAGTGAACCCAGACGGGAAATACTCAGAGGCTTTCCATGAAGTGCTTATGATTCTCATTGTTGCTCTTTTTTTTGAATAGTTCTGTTGCTTGATTATTGGGCCCCGAGTGACCAAGTGATGTTGTCTCTGGGATATGTGGCTGAACAGTTCACTTATTATTTCTTGTTATGGGCTGTTCTAATTATATCTGTAGTGACATTTATGTTTGTGTGGCCCAGGTAGGGAATAAAAAGTGCACTAAACTGACAGATGGGTTTTTGAATCCTGATCTGGACTGGGGACACGATGACTGTCAGAGCCACGCACTTAGACTGTGGTAAAACATGTGTGGTTTCCTGACCCCAGGAAATAGTTACGATTAATTTAGTTCCATCTTGGTCTGTGTGGGATTCTGCCAGTGTTGGAAAGACAGTTTGCCTACCACGTGAAGCTGGATCCTCACCAGGCAGCAGGCACTGATTGCTCTGTGTGTGAGGCCCATTGCAAGTTCAATAGATGGACCGAAACTCTGACTTTTCATATGTTCTCAAAAAGACCTAATTTTTCCAGCATTTTTCCTTCAAAAATATTTCTGCTATGTAATCTTATCTTGATATCTAAGCTTGATGCCATGGTTCCTAGAGAGAGAGAGAGAGAGAGAGAGAGAGAGAGGAAGTGGGGTTTAATTCTGTGGATGAAAGTCTGCAGGAAGACATTAGGCCCGGCCAGACAGACAGACATTTGTCTCATCTCTATGCGCATGCACCAACCAGGGTGTTTCCTTGGGAGGCACAGACTCAGTGTGGAAACAGAAACTAAGCTCTGCTGCTTAACAGGATGTCCACACTTTCCCTCACACCAGCGCTTCCTTCTGTTGGGTTTTACGTGTTTATGACTATAGAGAGACAACCCTCTCTGTTCCTCGTAGTATTTGCTCCCTAACACAGATGTTACCCTAGTGCAAACTATTTATAAAGCCTTCCTATAAACATGATATTAAATAGAACAGCAATTATGACTATTCCTAATTCTCATGTTACCTTTAAGATTTTACATATAGACATGTTTTAAAAATAATTAAAATTAACCTTTATAGTATAAATATTATATATGTTTGTATGATATGATATAATATAATAATGAACCTTTATAATATAAGGGGTTTTATTGTTATTCTCATGTTATCTATTTGGGGAGGTAAAAATTATAATTTAAAAAGATATACAATTAAAAGTATTGTTTTACTTAGTACTCAGAGACCATTTTCTTGGGCATTTAAAAAAATTATAGGCATATACATATACATATACAAATACATGTACACATGAATATATATGTATATATACACACATATAGGTGTGTCCTTTTTTTTTTTAAAAAAAAAAGTTCTTTATTGTTGGAAGTATTACAATATGTCTCCTTTCCCCCCCATTGGTATGTGTTCTTTTTAATTCATGTACATACTGTATTGAACCTTGCTCACTTTCATATATTGTTAGTGCATCCATCTATAAACTTATATGGATCTACCTCATGCATTCTCTTGGCATATAGAATTCCATAATGTGGCTGGTACAGTTCCCTAATGATATGATAGCTCTTTAGACTATATCATTTTTGGATGCAATTACCAACATTCTCCTACATACCTACGTGTGTACATGTGCAAATTTATATGTGGTGTAAATGAATAAAAATAGAATTGCTGGGTCAAAAGTTTTCCGATTCATTTTAAACAAATGCCAGTTCTGATGTTAAATTTGAATAGCATTTAAATGTATTCTCTCTGCTCACTGCTATTACAGTCTCCCATGAATAAGTCTTTGAACCATGCCCTGCTGCATAAGTCATCAGGGAAAGCAGTTGTATGTTACATTTTCCCAGTTATTGCTTAAAATTCTATTTTTGCTAGTTAAAATAGTACCAGCTTTAAAACTAACCTCTTTGACTAAAGTAAAACCTGTTTACCATTTTAATGGAAATGCACCATTTATGAAGTGAAAGTGATTTGTAACCCCTGAGTCTGCCTGATGCCCAGTTGGTGGCAGCAACTTTCAGCACCTCACTAATATTTCCTCTAGTTAAAAGGCACTTTAAGCTCATCAGTGTCGGTGTGCGCTGGCCTAATCTCTCTTACAAATACTGCCTTCTTGTCTTTCTCTGAGGTGACAGGTGGCTACAGGATTCGCCTTCATGTTCTTGGTACGTATATGTATTCGTATCCTGTCAGCTGCCTCACTTCACAGGCGAGGGACTGCCTAGCTTTACCATCTGGGTGTATAGTCTTAGCCTGTCTTCTTCTCCTCCCATCCTGTTGCAGGTGTTTTTTTTCTTCCCACTGGGCAGCAGAAGTTGTTCCACAGTGGAAATTTAAGCATCCTCAAGTTCCTTCCCAGTTTTTGCTGTGTTTTCTTAGAGTAAATCGCCAATTTCTGTCTTTACAGGAATATTTTTAAATGGAGTGAGTGTGGTCTGCATTTACTCTGCAAAAATTACATTTTTCTCGATTTTGAAATGAGAATTTTGCAAGTTTCAAAAGTGTTTTCAAATAATAAGTGTATAGTAGTTTTCTTTTGTTTGGGCATTGTTAATTTGTGTGAAATGAGTTTTTGAGAAATAATAAAATTCTAGCTTTGTTGTTGAAATTTCAGTCCATCACATTTTTTTTCTCAGCCAAATTCTTAACTTGTGTGATTAGGCAAAAAGTGTGGGGGACAATCCAATAAAAAAAAACACCAAATGCACAACTTTACTTGACTAGGAGTAGTTATGCGCTATTTATTTATGATTGCCTTATTGCTTTAGCTCCCAAATAAGGAAATATTACAGTTTCCTGTCAAAGGGGAAAAAGAAATCTTTAGAGTGGAACCCCTGCCCCTAAATCTCTGATAAGATGAATTGAGAAGTTTTATCCTTGTTGCCTGGTTTGTGAGTGTATGAGACTGGTTGTGTTTCACACAATTTGTCCCCTTGTGCGTGACTCCTTTTGGTCTTTGTTTATTTGTTTATTTTTTCCAGAGGTCTTGTTCCCAGAAAAATACACATGGAACAGTTCATACACAGGGTAGATTATGTGACGGCAAACTCCTAGGGATTAATTACACAGAAGTCTGTTATTAAAATAAAGAACGTTAACAGGGAACACAGAAAAAGTTCTGTAGACTTTATAACGCCCATTTTACTTTACAAAGAGGACTTTAAGGCTTCACCTGAAGTCAGATAGGCTAATCATTAAATATGGCTAAAAGATTCCTGCAGTGGTATGGTTTGTCCTTGCATTTATTGAAAAGATTAAGCTAAAATATTGAGGCACCATTAAAAAAGATATTCTTAAGTAGAAGGCTTCAGTAATTCCACATTTTAAACAAGAAGATGGAGACACAATATTTATTTATGTGACTCATTTCATAACATTTAAGACATAGTGGTTGTTGACAAAAATGCATAAGTTGTTGATATTGCAAATTAATTAAAACATGCACCAGTCTCCTTGAGATGGGGTTAGGGCTGATGGAAACAGAATTACAGATATCTGTCCAAATTTATTTGGAATTATAAAGATTAGTGAAATGTTTATTTCTTGTCTTGTGTAGCAGATACTTAACAAGGTTCTAGTATTTTGCCAGTGACTCTAAGCAAGCAAAATACTGAACAAATTATTAGGCTCTTTACACACTAGTTTGTTTGCTTTATCCTACAATAAACCAGGCAACCAATCTAAATAATTTGGGAATATGAGCCTTAATTTTCAGTGTGAAAATAAGGTTTTAAATATGTTTTCTTGAGCTCTACTAACATTTTTTTTTCTGTTTCTAGAAACTAACCCAATAAATGGGGCCCATTCGAGCAACTTAGAACTTTTTCCCATAATTTTGTTTTTAGAAAGCTGAAATCAATAATGTATCAGGCCTGAGTTATATGGCAGGCATATGAGAGTTTAATGTTTCAAGAGTGTTAAGCTTGATTTTCCCATTAGGTTGTAAAATCATCAAAGGCAAGAAAGCAATCATAAGCATTTTAACATTACGTTATTGTTAGATGGGATTCCAGAGAGTTCATTAACTCAGGAAGCCTTGATTGAAAGCCATCCTGAATTTAGGTGCGTGGAATGCCAGAGACATACAGCCATGGCCCTGAGGGGCTTAATATTTTCGAGTACAGTCAGATGCATTACAGGAACCAAGAGTCAACAGAAAGATAGTAGAGGACATGGGATCTAGGATTAAGTAAAAACAAATAATAAGAACAATTGTTGCAGTGGCAGGTGACATTAGATGACATTTATGTACCAGGCACTGCTTTCAGTGTTTTACAGATGGGACCTCATTTGATGCCCACAGCATTTCTATGAAATGAGTCCTTTTATTAGCTTCCTTTTACAGCTAGAAGAGCTGAAGCACACAACGGTTAAGTTTTAAAGACACATTTTTAATATTTTTTTCTTCATTAATTTTAGTTCTGGTTTTGGTTTTTCATTCCACTGGACAAAAATGTGGGGCTAAAACATTGTAAAATTCCCCTTAAAATTCCTAATATTTCTTTGTGCCCGATCCCAGGCATAGTTAATAACATGATAATATTTTGTCAAACAAGAAAATTTCTTTAACATTTCTGCAATAACATAATAGAACAGAAGGAATTAAAGAATGTTAGATCTGGAGGGGTCTTTGGATGACACATATCTTATATTTTAGCATTATACCTTGTCTTTTATTGAGAGTGGTAGGTAACCATCACAGGCACTCTCTTGCATCACCCAAGGTTCTGAGCTAGAGACATTGCTCATGATGTCATTCAGAATCTCTTGCGCTCATGTGACGTGTGAGAGATTTTTCTCAGAATCAAGTTGCGAGAGAGACTTCTCTTTCCAGGAGAGGCTGCTATGTGTCTTAAATTCTTAAGACCCAATATGATGAGTTACTGAATTCTTCCATTTTTTACCTTGGTTGCCTGCAATATATAATTTTACATTAAATTGCAGGAATAATGGTAAAGAATAACAGGTTCTGATATATCCCTCATGATTGCACTTTACATATGTTAATTCATTTAACACATACCTCCTTGAAGAGGGAGATTATACCTACTTGCCCATTAAACAGATGAAGAAATGGAGGAATGCAGAGTTCTAGTAATTATTCCAGAGATATAAATTAGTAAGAGGTAGAGTTGGGAAATCTGTCTTCATAGTCTGTGCTCTTAACCAATGTGTTGCACTGCTTCTCCAGTGTAATAAATCTGATACCTGGTAAGTTTATTCTTTTTTCCATAGTCTTGAATCTTTCATTTCCCCAAAATCTTCTCCTACCATTGCTTCAGGGAAAGACTCAACATTTATTGAAGGCAGATGCAGTCACATGACAAAGGAAGTGTCATTGTGAAAATTGGATTAATCAGAAAAGACTTCAAAGTGAAAGTCTACCAGGGCTCAGCCAACTGTGGACCAAGCTTCCTGTTTTTTATAAATAAAGTTTTATTGAATCAAATCTATGCCCATTGTTTACATATGATCTATGTCTGCTTTCACACTACAGGGATAGAGTGGAATAGTTGAGACAAAGATTGTATGGCCTGGAAAAAAACAAATTATTTGCTCTTTGTCTTTACAGAAAAAGTTTGCTGACTTTTGTTCTATGTGACAAATAAGTGACTGTCAGGACTGAGAACTTCTTAAAGGCGGTTTCCTTTTTTGTTTTATTTATTACTGGGAATAATTAGGAGCTGGGCATATGGTAGGTGTTCAATATTTAATTTTTGAATGCCTGGCCATTTTGATGGACTGGTTGACAGGATAAGGTAACTTATATAAATTAGAGCTCAAAGGAGGTATATGAGAGAAATGAAGAAAAAATTGAGTGGAAAAGGCACAAAGTGAAAAGAATATAAAGTGTTTGCGCTCATGGGCAGGGCTTGCATTGCCTGGCTCCAAGGGGCCCAGCTCACAGTGTAGCCTGTGAGAGTAGTGCCTTTGGAGTTGTATAATATGCAATCTTGTGAGCCTGTCCATAGACTGACATTGTCAGGCTGGGAGAGGAACTAGAGGACACATACCATCACTACCTGATCGTGGGAAAGGTGAAGATGGTGAGTTAGTAAAGGATTTTAAGATGGGAACATGATCAGATCTTTGCCACTTGGCAGAAGTGTGGGAGGCGCATGGTTTAGAGAATAGAGAGACTAGAGGCAGGGAGATTTGGGGGGCTAACATGGCAATCAGGGTGAGCGTGGACAATGGCCTAAGCAATGGCAGTGGAGGGGGTTAGAAGAGGCTCAAGGTGTTCCAGAAGTAACCTGGCCAGTACTCAACCACTAAGTTGTGTGAAGCAACGTGGGCGAGGCACTTAGGATGTTCCCACCTCCATGTATTGTTAAAACTTATTACACATGAGAACATTATAGCACCATTAATGAGAAATGAAATCATTCCAAGTCCCTGTACTACAAGGAAACAAGCTATTTTCATCTGTGTTTTGGTTATCTTATTGCTATGTAACCAATTACCCCCAAACTGAGTGACTTAAAAGAACAACAATTTTATTATTTCTTATGATTCTGCAGGCCAGGAATTTGGACAGGGCACAGTGGGGAACCTTGTCTCTGCTCCCTGCAGTGTCACTGGGGCTGGAATGAGCAAGAGGCCTTCTTCACGTGTGTTTCTGGTTCTGTGATTGTGGACTGGCGCCTGCAGCCCTGTTTACTTTGGTGTGGCTTAACTAAATGGACAGATAGAGGAGTGGAATAAAGGAAGCAAAGAGTCACTTGTCTGGCTCTTTTGGGGGACTTCCAGGTTTTAAAGCTCTCTCCGATGTGATCTCCTGCCTGGGCCTGCCCCTGGGGATGGAGCCACGTAGTGTTTTTTTTCAAATGGGGAAACTGAGCCCCAGGTGCAGCGACCAGGCCTCGCTCAGGATAAGTGTCTGTTGTAGCTCGATCTTGAACAAGAGCTTCTTGACCTGGGTCACATGCTTTCACCCCATATGTTGACTGCAGAACTGACTTGAATGGCTGAAAGCTGACTGGAAGGGCTGGATGGGCTCATGTGTTTGGATCGTGGGCTGCGTTCCTCACATCTTCATGTCGTCTCAGATCGGCCCCCTCTCACATGGCCTTGTGGCAGACTCTCCAGCAGCGTAGCCAGACCTTTTACATGGAAGCTGAGGATTCCAAGGGTAAAAAGTGGAAGCTACCAGACTTCCTTCAAACTTAGCCTGGGCTTGCATGGCCTGGAATTCCATGCAAGTCACAGGCCTTGTCTGAGTTCAAGGACATGAACAAAAAGCCATAGTTTTAGAATGGATGGAACTGGAGAGCATTATGCTAAGCCAGCAGCGTAGCCAGACCTTTTACATGGAAGCTGAGGATTCCAAGGGTAAAAAGTGGAAGCTACCAGACTTCCTTCAAACTTAGCCTGGGCTTGCATGGCCTGGAATTCCATGCAAGTCACAGGCCTTGTCTGAGTTCAAGGACATGAACAAAAAGCCATAGTTTTAGAATGGATGGAACTGGAGAGCATTATGCTAAGCGAAATAAGCCAGTCAGAGAAAGATAAATATCACATGCTATCACTCATTTGTGGAATATAAATAAAGAAAAAAAAGCCATAGTTCCCCCCCGCCCCAGGTTCTTTATTTTTTTCCATCACTATATATCTACTCTATGCCCTCATCCACCTCCACTCCCCTCCCCCGAAATCACCACACTGTTGTTCTAGTTCTTTATGTGAGGAGCAGCAGGTGTCTGCAGGAAGGGGAGGTATTGGGGAGGACATTTTTGGAGACTAGCTATCAAAGTGAAGGAATGGGTTGTTGGGAAGGATAATTAGATGTTTAAGATTTTTGTTGTTGTTGTTATTGTTAATCCTCACCTGAGGATATTTTTTTCCATTGATTTTTAGGGAGAGTGGAAGGGAGGGGAGACAGAGAGAGAGATAGAGAGAGAGAGAAAAACATTGATGTGAGACTGACACACTGATTGGTTGCCTGGCCAGGGCAGATGTTTATGTTTTAATCTAACTTGATTGAGTATGATTGGCTTAGTTCCCCACTGAAGATGTGTCATGGTGTTTTGCTACCGTGACTGCATAATGAAAAATGAACAACATGTCATTTTGTCATAAATGGAACAGCCACATTGTTAATAGAACAAAACTGGATTAGGAATGCAGTCAAGTTTTGATTGTAGATCCAATACTCTACTATCAAAGTCTGGTTTTAAGTCCTTGTGACTTTCCCACTTTCTCAAGTGGCTTTTGTGTTGAAGTTATCACAGAGTCTATTTATTCAGCCCCTCGGAGCGGAAGGGAGAGGGGACAATCCCCTATCTCCGCCATTCCCAGCCGGAGATGTATTCCAGACATCAGGCAGGCCAGAGCGGGAGAACTGCTCCATTAGACAAGTTATTTGGTTCAGTGTTCTGAAGGGTTGTGAATTCCTAGACCATCAGTCATACTTACATTCAAATATAAGTATCCAAACACATCGAAGTCCAAATATAGTACAACCACTTTACAACGTGGGTGCTGGGAGACAGGATTTATGTCGGCCCTATGGACACATTATGTCTGCTGTTAAGCTCTTAGTTTCGTAGTTTTGAACTAAACTGGTGTGATATCTCTGTTAATAAAGAGAAGTGTTCTAGAGACAGGTATTTTGTTTTTCTGTTTCTTCTCCTTTTCCCTCTACCTCTTTTCCTTCTTCTATGTCATCAATATTCTTCTCCTTATTACTCTTCTTCTTCTTCATCATCTCATCTTTTTTTCTTCTTATAAGTAACTTCATGAGCTGAGCTTCACATAAAATAAGGATAATAGGAATACCAAATAAGGGTTAAAACATTAAGAAAATTAAATTATAAGTAAAACGTTACATTTTTACCTGAGGGTCTTGGGGTGTTCAAGAAGAAAACAGAGATAAGGTTTTGTTAGGGCAGGGAAGGAGAAAGACTGAGGGAGGCACTGGAAGGGAATCAGGAACAGGTTGTGGATGAAGAGTCCAGTCAACCAGTTACCTGCGTTGGACAGAGCAGGTCCCTCACTCATGGCAGCCTTGCTACCAGGTGACCTATGGCCTGACTGGACTGCTCAGGGGACCGAGAAAGATAGACACTTGGATGTCAGAAAAGATTCTTGTAAAACAATTAGAGAAATTTTGTGGAAAAATCAGGTCAAGCCAGCATTTATTATGCACCTGTGTATATGGTACTATGTAAGGTTTGGTGCTCTCTCACTCTCCTCACGAATGATGGTTTATTGTCTGCCATTTCCCCTACTCATTGGATGCTAATTTAGATTGAGTAAATTAATAGGTACCTTTGATGAATAACTTTTAAAGACTCTTCTTGGTTTTTGGCATATGGAATCATGACTCAGGTCTTCCTCTATAGTCAGATCATCCATCTTTATAAAAACATTACAAGTTAGAGTGATAGTGGGGCAGACGTTAAAAATTTATAGATGCAGAAACCGAGGCCCAGAGAGAGTTTATTAAAAAGTGCTCAAGATGCTTATTTCCTTCTCTATGAAGTAGAGAGATGTGGAAGCTGAGTCCCACAGCACCAGGAGCCAATTTCATTAGACGTGTGTCATTGTGCAGGAGATTATGCCTCCCTTTGTGTTCATACCCTGAAGAGGGTGAGTGGTACCTGAGGGTCCTTAGCTGGGCTGCCAGTAAGGGCACAGGGCACAGGGCACAGGCACTTTTCTTGTTCTCTCTTTATTTGGCTGAGGAAGTGCGATCAGCCTCTCAGTGGTTGACCCAGATGGGAGGCTGGACATCAGAGCTTTAGCTCCTCAGGGCTCCCTTCAATCAGTGGAAGTCTCTGGCTTAGGTGGGGTCAAATGGGATGGGGCTTTTAATGGAAGGTGGTTTCCGGTGAGGGTAGCAGTGAGGGGGTGGGAGAAGGAGCACTGGGAATCTTCTCTGGGAGTCTGAAGGGTAACTCCCCCCTACCCGACAGTCACACTGCTAATGAGCAATTAGAATGTTCAATGTCCTGGGATGGGCCACCACAATTCTAGGTCTGTAAACTTGGACTCTTGTTGCAACGTGCTGACTCAGTTATCCAAACTATTAATTTATACATTTAGATTCCATGTAATAAGCATGTCGGTAATGAAAAAACTCTTGTTTTCCATATCATCTATCCCAGAACATCTGCTTAATCTAAGTGACAACTATGTATTGAGTATTAGCCGTTTTTGAATCGGGGATCTAATGCTTAATTCTCAGAATGAACAGCCTGTCTCAAGCCAGTTGATATTATCACCTTCTGTCCAATGATTCTAGGCAGAACTACATTTGGAATATCTTTCTCTCTCTTTGCTGATGGGGTTAATGTCCGAGATGATGTGGACACATGCTCTCCAAGGAAGGACTTGATATGCAACCTTCAAGTGGACAGAACGTTTTTTAATTTTTCATGGACTGCTGCTGCTTCACACCCCAGAGTTTAGGCCACTGACCTCAAGTTTGCAAATTTTATATCCCAT